TTTGAATATTTTTATATATATTAAATTTAAAAAGTGCCAAAAGGACTCAATTATAGTTTAATTGGGCCAATTTGGATCCAAGTCCATCAACCCAATCAAACGCAACCCGATCTAGTAAATTGTCGCTCAAAACTACGTAGCTTTGGTTAAATGGGTAGAAATCAATATCATCCCTCTATCCTCTTTTGACCAATGACCCTCGTTTGACATCTCTGTCAAGTAGAAAACATCTCAAAAATCATATTTTGACCTCCATTATTCTCCGTCTTCTTCCTTCTCCTCCTCTTCTTCTCCCCACCACCAGCCACCTTACAAAAACCCTTCAAGCTTTAATGTGTGCAAAAAAAGGTGTGACAACTCTGACGACTTCGCTAGGAAACCTAACTAGGATTCGAGCTTTGTTTATTGATTAATATTTGACTTTACTAGTTACTTGGATACATATTGTGTTCATTCCCTAATGTGGTCTTTGTTGCTTTTTACAGCATTGATAATGTGTGATTGTATATATCCACTATCTCTCTCGCACACCATCCTGAGCCTCTTAACACATTCACCACCGTTCATTGTGTGCGCAGATAATGGAGACCACATTCCTCAACCCTTCCTTTGCGACTAGGTACAAAGTTGAACCAGTCAACACCGAACTTTGGTGCAAGTCTAATGATAGAATTGTTCCAAGAAAAACATTTGTAATATATATATTACACCCTTCAAAGTAGGTAGCTCTCTTTTACACTGTGTCAATGCACAAAACATGTCTCCAAGAATCATGGGTATAAGGGTGGGGTTATCCATTGTTGTTAACGCCCTTACTACACCCAGACGAATGTCAATATGTCCATCCTGTTCTGGAAAAACAATAAGCTTAAAAAATGCAACCATGAAAGCAAAGCACCTATGGACTCTCCATTTTTCTGGATCCCCAATATTGCTAAGTTGACCATGATACTTTCTAATCCTTTCATTTGTGACCATACCTCTAAACAGAAAATTCAGAGAAATCCATCTGTTTCTCAAACTCTATTTCTTCATTTTATTAACTTTCAAATAGTCCCGAAACTTATTCCCGTTAATCTTTTAAGAGATAATAGGTCTTTTCTTATGGAGATCAGAGTCCCGAAGACTAGATCCCATCCCCATAAAGCCTGCAATTTCTTCCAGAGTTGGGGCCAGTTCATAATCCGAGAAACGAAACACATTATTCTTATAATCCCACAGATGAATCAATGCCTCAAACACATCTCTTCTAGGGTTGATTTCCAACATGTGCACTAGATTCCCCAAATGACCTATCTTTTTTTTCAGCCATAGTCCCCATGTTTCTCCATCATTGCCACAGAAGGAGTTAAGTTGGTGAACAATATTCTCCAGGAAGTCGATGTAATGAAATACCGATAGTAACAATAAAAAGACTACAAATAATAAAGAGCAAGTTGGTGATGATATTTCTATCGTATTGTTTATTTATTGGGTGTCTACTTACTTTTAAGTGTGTGTGTGTGTGTGTGTGTGTGTATATATATTATTTTAAATTTTTTCTGCTAAAGAAGAGAAGTCCTCAGTAGTTAAGAATGGATAGAGAGAGTTTCCTCAGTTATTATCAGATTAACACGGGAATGTAAATAGAAAACATCCCCTGGGAGATTATTTAATAACCTCATCATTGCACCTCTTTCTTAATCAAATTAGGCAACACTTATAAGTATATATATAAATTATCAAAGAAACAAGTATAGATAATTTTCCATGGTGTGAGATGGTGTAGTTGAAAGGAAGTAATGGATATATTCTCTTTTCTTTTGTCATTTTCATCTAAAGGGTGAAAGTTTATTTAACAATTACAATTACATTTCTCACTTTTAAATTCTTTTTTCGTGGCCTTTCATGCTCACAAAGCTAAGGAGAAAACAGAAAATCATTTACATTCATCTAGCAATATATGGATGAAACAATAATACATGAGAATTCTATCAATGACTTGTGACAAAGTAGCTCTCTGAAATGAGTCATTATGCATAAGTTTTTTTTTAGCTATATAGCGAAAAAAGTGGCATGGTAGAGAGCCATTTAGTCTCTATTTTTATCTTCTCCTTATATATAGCATATAGCTTTTAAGAACACTCAACTACAATGATTAAAATTAGTGTGACTGATAGTCTTAATCTGTTTCTTAATAAGGTAGTTTGACTTATAGTCTTAATATTTACCTTCACCATTTAGAAGGACAAGGCCGATAACCATTAAAACAGGATGAACCTGCATGAGACAACATGGAAAGCACAAATAAGATAAGAGTTTGTTTCAGTCTCCAAAAGTCTCTGAAACTTGAATCACAGTAAAAATCAAGAAATAGATCTCGACTTTTGTTAGTAGGCAGATGTGTTATTTGTGGTAGAAAATGCAAAAATTAGAAGTGACGAGATTGAACTTTCTTGTTAGGCATATCCTACATGAAACAAGTCACCTAAGTCTCTTCCTCAAATATGACGCACATCAAGTTCACCAACTGGGAGAAGCAGCAATAGGTACAACTACAACTGTACAAGAGCTATGACTAAAGCATCATTTGCTGCCCAGTACCTTTTAAGGAAAAATGTTCTGCAATATCGGTAAAGACAAGAGAACCGCTCACGATATAGCAGTTTCCCCAACGAAGAACCAAGTATATAAAGAAACCTTGATCCCAATATGGAAATTCAAATGAACGTCATCACAATAATCACTTTGTAGCCATAATCCAATACTTTTGAGCTGTGTGATAACTGATCAAATCCATCAAATACACCCTCAATCCCAAACAAGACGGGATCAACCATATGAATCCACACTATCAACAGTCTGTTCTATTCAGGCCAATTCATCCAATACCCAATAAATTTGTCGTACGGACAGGAAACCGAAAAGGGAAATCCGATATCCATGCTAAACCATAGAGGGATCCGGGTTCTTGAAGTCCATGGGTGTTCCATACCACTACAATACACTTATCTATAATATTTCTAGTTTCGACTATATCTGGAGAGAGCACTGCACTAAGACAGAAACCTCACCTTTGCACCAAAACAATAAGTGCATGATATGTGTTTGTTATTTTCTACTGCTAATCAATATCTTAAGTCGTCCATTATTGCTCATTTTATAGTGCTAACACAGTCACAGTGCGGGTAAACAAAATTAGTCGAAACAGGAAAATTGAAGGAAGCTTACGTTAAAGATGAGAGCTTTGTTGTCAGAGATGAGTGCTAAACCTCCTCTGTAATGGACATTCCAAATCAACACCAACGCTGCCACCGCAATTCCGATTACTCTCACCAATAAGAAAATCGGAAACCTTACCACTGGCACCGCCATTGATAAATCCTCAGAATTAGTAGCCTCCTCAATAATGAGAAATCTGCAGGTTGTTCAATAATGTGATGATCGTCGAATTGGCAGAGCTAGGGTTTTAGGTTTTAGATCTCTTCTTGATTAAAATTCACAATTACGATCTTTTGACTTTCACAGGGAGATAGGTCCCCACGTCAGCTCCACAAAATCTTTTTTATTTTTTTTGGTACAAATTGAATAATGTTTGGGGAAATGCTGAATAATCTATTGAATTATTGCTTTATGGCAAGGGTGTGTACTAATCTTATTTATTTTTTTTAATATTTTCCATCTTGTTTTCTTTTTTCTTTTTTGGTCATTGTTTGAAAATGGGTTAAAATTATCTTCAAACTATTTGAAATAACTTATATATATCCTAAAATTATGTTTGAAATCAAAACGATCCTTGTTGTTTATGTTTTGGATCATAAATAACTTTAAAACGTTATCTTTGTCATAGAAGCTGACATGGTAGTCCACCTGGGCATTTCAACATGGCAAAATATATTTCTCTCAATAATGATGTTTTTCCTTATTCATTGCTATCACAAAAAGAAATCAAATATAATTCTTCCATTGTTCTGTTTGAGTTTGTTGTTTGGACTTTGAAATTTTAATTTTTAAGTGTGCTGAAGTTTGTTTGAAGTTGTGATTGCATATTGAAGGATCGAGTTTATTGTTTGAATTTTCGGATCATAATTCACAAAATTGATTTTAGATTTTCAAACAATTTTAGAACTCTTTCATATATTAATTTATATTTTATTGGGATTTCGACTCATACTAAAAAATCAGTTTTTAAATGTCAATTTCCACTCAATTGCAATATCCAAGCAATTTGTAGTAACACTCAATTAAATCTCTTCAAAAATTCAACAAAAGCTAGGAATTTTCCACCAACTAACATTCAAATGAGTAGCTATTCTCGAGTTTCAACACATAAAGAAGGACTTCAAGAGTTTTTCAATATTTTTTAACTTTGAGAATTAAATGTTCAACCTCAAATTCGATGACAACAAAACTCAAAACTCAAACAATGAACTCGATAACACACAATTACTATATAAACAAAATTCAGCGCACTTCAAAATTGGAATTTCAAAGTTCAAACAATAACTCTAACAAGAATAATGAAAGAACTATTTTTGACTAAAAATTTTTTTCAAAGGGTATAGAGGTTGATCGAGCTAAAGTTAAGATGATAAAGATACTTCCCCCACCTATCTCTTTTGTGTAGGAGATGAACAAGGAAGAGTAACATCATTGAGAGGAGAAGATTTTTGTCATGTTGGACTACCTAGGCGGACTGTCATGTCAGCACCTATGACAAAGATAACATTTTAACAGGATTTATGGTCCAAAACATAGATGACAGTAGCAGAGCTAAAATTTTATCTAAGGGGTGTCAAAATATAAGAAATAAAATCATATAGATGCCAAGGAGTGTTCATATTTAATATATAAATAAAAAAATATTTGTATTTCTAGCTACACAATGTATTTTCAAACGAAGGGGTGTTGGTCGACACGCCTTAACTACATGTGGCTCCACCACTGATAGACGACATTTGATCCCAAACATAAATAAAAAATATATATGAAGTATTTCGAATATTTCAAGTATAATTTTGAACTTTTTTCTGTTAATAGTTTGTCTTTCCTAACTTTGATTATAGTTTGCTCACATAAAATTCCAAAAGAACTCCAAAACATATAGTCTTAACTAGAGTAAGGATAAGGGTATAGAAAACCACTTTCGTAAGGATGGTTACCCTCCTCTCCTTATCCTATTAGATATCCAGAAACTCAACTACCCATATGTTGGAAGGCACACTCTACTCTATCAGACCAAAGATTTCATTTTTGCCTGGCCAGGTAAAACTTCTACAGTAACTTTTAATTGACTTCATCATCTTTGCTGAGTTAATGAACATTTGTATTCAATAGGATTAGATTTCAAATATCACTGATTTAATCAACTGTATTGTGCTAGCATGAGATACCTTTTTGTTAGTAGTCGTTGTCACTCCACTGTTTTCAGTTTCTCGAGGCTGATCTTCAAAATGTTACAAGTGAACACAAAATAATTTAAAACTGAGAGATGAGTCGATCGATTATTTGTACAATGTCATGCAATTTGAATATATACAATGTCACATTAAGACATTATTATGAACACAAGAGGGATGGATATCAACAGATACCAGGGTACAATAATTGAAGATTAGCAACAGCTTCTTTTCACCATCATGTATAACCTAGAATGAACTGGGAAGATAAAACAATTTTCTGCAGAATTAGAAAGGGCTGATCCTGCGAGCTAACTTTATCAAGATTTCTGGAGCAAGCCGCTTTCTAGGAGGTGCCATAGCATCCTTAGCGAGAGCTTCTTTGTCGTTAGCATGTATATATGATACTATATAGTCAAAAAGGTCATCTTTACCACCACCTCTTAGAGGATCCTGCAGTTCAAGATCAGTTAAATGTACAGCAAGACACTCAAATTTCATCTTTTCCCTAATGATTACAGAAAAATACTACCACGATAAGTAGACTACATAAAAATGAACAAAGAGTGCATACATGAAGGAATAAATCCAGGTGAGTTCTTCCATCATACAAAATTGATTCAGCTTGAACTCCCACTCTGTGAAGTGTATCTACAAATGCTTTGCTGCAGAGTAAGAGCAAGTTCAACATGTTATTGTACAAGTTAGCACTTAAACATGATAACCATTCTTTATGTAATCCACTAAAGTAAAAGTGGTGGATCATCATGGCCCTTCAGAAGGAGTTCAGACCTTGAATCCGATGGAATGGAGCTATCTGAAGAACCGTGAAATAGGATAATGTGAGGCAGCAAATAAACAGCAGCTTTAGAGATCTGATCCTGTACCATAATTTCAGGCGAGAATTTTTGCAATGACTCCTCCCCTTCCATTATACTGTAGATGACAAGTTAAAATCTCAACTTCACAGTAGGTGTGGTAACATAAGCTGATTAAGGTTTTGTTTAGCATGAAGGAAAATATTTTCTTGGAAAATGTTCTTTTGGGAAATAAGTGAGTTTCTTATTTGATTTCTTATTCGTTACATAAGCAAAAGATATCTATCTTAAAGGCATTCGTATGTAATCTTAGATAATACTATGGGAGGGTGGGTAGGGTAGGGGGTGTGGATGTGAGGTGGTTGGTATGGTGGTGAAGATGGAGTATGGTGGAGGGTTGGGAAGACACAATCAATGTGGAATATCACTCTTGAAGCTTGTTTTTTCTACTTACACTAGGGAAGTCATTTTGCTCATTTATAAGGAACTTCTTTTCCTAGAGAAAGTGTTTATCCAAAAATTTTGGCCAATCGAACATGAGAAAACTTAAATTGTTCCTCCACACCGGACACACCCTAAAATTTTGCCTGTTACGTGAGATAACGCTGTTAGCCGATATTTACCTCAAGAAAATTGAGCGATATAACCCTCTGTTATTGAAATGATCAACTAAATTGGGCAAATTATACCTGTCAAATCAAACAGTGGAACACCAATTAGCAAGAAATCTAACACAAATAAAATAAAAGAAGAGCATACCAACTGAAGGAAAATAAGACATAAAACGCACACAATTTTTTGGTGAAGCATTTGCAGCACCAAAAGAATGCTGCGGGGGAAAAGAAGGATACAGCAACATGGTATAATGAAAGCAGCAGAAGTTTAGGGAAAGAAAAAGAAGAAAATCTAATTCCTTTTATCTGATTTTGATCATGTGAATTGCAACTGTCCAGATGGAAGACAATAACCGATAATAACTTTGCTATGAAACTGGCCACTTACGCGCCTGACAAACCAAAAAAAGCTTTTATTTGGGAGGTGCTCCAAGAAACAGTTTCTCCTCTAGATTCTTTGATCGCCTGCTTCACAAGAACACAAGAAGAGATATGTGCACCAGCAGATTGACCCATGAGATAAATCCTGGAAAATACAGACAGCATGACAGAGTTGAAAATATCAAATCTTCGGTAAGTACAGAAAGGCTTCTTAGGAACTGTCCAGTTTTTCTATTTCATATTTTTCTGCTCTAGTTTGTATAGTGAATAACTAGACTGTCCGTTAAGTCATCTGAGTCCAGAAGGACTGCTATCCAATGTCCTTCACATCCATAAATAAGAATTACGAAGTGTCGTACAATCTAGAACTGAAAATAATCTCAATCATCCTTTTTAGTTATTTCATTCTTATTCAATTCTGCTCAAAATGCAAATCAGGGGAACGATGTTAAACCTATTTGGGTCACCACCATGATCAGCGATGCTGCTGCAAATAAATGAGATTCCTTGAGACACATCTTCCACCATATCTCCTATTGTTCCCTGTGGAAAGTTTCTGCAACCAAAGAGTCCATAAGCATCTTGAATGTGGATAAGAAAAGTGTGATGGCACTGCTGACCAAGGAAAATGGGAGGGCAGGGAAATTAGTAACTGATGCAGTGTGTATCATACTATATAATGATGTTTTTACCCCGTCAATATATTTTTGAAAAAAAAAAAGTTACTTTTTCACGTAGTGATACTAAAGGTTAACGCAAAGCCTTAAAGATAAAAGTGGGGCCTGTCCCATATATCAATGCATAACAGATCAACTAAGATTGCCTAATGGAGAGTGAATAGGTTAAACAGAACTGTGTTCTATTGATTCGCTATAAAAATCATGTGTTGGTTCCCCTCTATCTAACGAATCATCCAGGAGAACCAGTAATATAAACACAATTACATGCAGCATGAAAGTGGACAACAACCTGTAGTTAAAGAATTCAATCAGTTACCTGTAATCAATGCATGCCACTATAATGTCATGTTCTGATAATTGCTTTCCCAACAGAGAACCCCAGGCCTTGTATCTGCATGAGTATGTGAACTTCAGATCAATGTTATATTCAGATAAGCACATCATCCATCCAATCCAGGATTGAACATGCCATGAATAAAGTAGAACTTATTAAGGATATATAAGTGCTAGAATCTATTCAGAAGGACCTGTACATAACCAATTTTGCATTTAGTTCCAGTTATTGATCTCATGTGTGTTATTATGGAGATGTGCCTGTGAGGCTAATAAATCACTGTTCGGAGGTAACTCAGTCATGCAACATGTTTGAATCTTTGTCAAGGCAGAAAATCTGAGGAGACGGAAGTTCTTATTGCTGACGTTTGTTTGTGCAACGAGAGAGGAGAAAGACCACTGTGTATAAGCATCTTAATGTTGCTACTCTAAACCTCATATTTGATGTTTCTGGAAGTCATGCAGAACATGCCCCCATACAGTAAAGGAGCTCTTTAATGCTTCTATACATTTCATGAGTAATGTCAGATTTGTAAACTGATGAAACTTAATGAGTTCTTGATGGGGTTGAAATTTCAGTGTCAAATACTCAAAACCTTTATTTGATTGGGTAATATCTGACTCCGACAGGAATTTTATTGGGTAATTCTTTCATCTAACCCAAGAAAGGGGAAGTTGCAAAAAAGGTGTTTATCTACCAGAGCCCAGGTTTTATTCCAGTTTAGGATACAATCTATCCTTCAAAAAAAATCCTTGGAGGCTTCCAGCACTTCACAGATTTATTCTATCTTGTTGATGCCATCCTAACATGCATCCACCTAACTTGCTACTGAAAACATGATTGAGATATCTTGCAAAACACACACATTAGATTCTCCATATTTTTTTTCTTCAGAAATCATCACTAGTAGCTTCATGTGAACTGCAATAGCTTGAGAAGCCAAAAGACTGCTAAAATTTATTTATAAAATTGATAATTCTGGAATTTGGAAACCATAATCAACTGCCTGCTTATCCCAGGTTGTAGATAGTAGTAGAAGAGATCTGAGATCATTATACACAATTGAAGACTTGTAATTTGATGCTATTATCATTGTTTTGTAATTAGTTGATAGGGTCTCTCAGATACACACAATTTACAAAGCTGATATGGCTGCATCACCGAGAATAATTTCCCCTAGAGGAAATAATATATGAAAACATTCTCTTATATTGTTCAAGTGCAGGAGTGGCTACAGTAGTCTTAGTAAGTTAAAAATACTCTTTATCAATTTCATGAAGAGAGCAGAAACCTAATATCCTATAAAAAAAAAAAGTTAATAATAGTTCATAGCACCAGAGAGGTAATTAATTATACAAAAAAGATTACATACTAGCTCTCTTGTATCTTACATACTAGAGGAATTTATGGTGTAGAATGATAGAAAGAAGAAGTATCTAGATTTCTTACTCACCCAATAATCCATGCTCCACCTGTTACAAATACCACAACTGGCTTTGGGCTGTCTATCTTTGCTGGTAGATATAAGTCCAACCTGAAACATAATGTCAGTTTGAGTCGACCTAAGAAACTAGGTCAAGGAGAAAAGGAGGACAAATGACATACCTATTCCTCGGCTGATCACCATAGACAACACTTAGCCGGACCAGTGGTGAAAAGAAATAATAAAATGCAACTGTCACAATTGACAGAACAAGTTAAATTTGATCGCGTTGTGACAGTTATAGACATATATAGTTGCCGAATAAAAGAATAAAAAATGCACGTCTCTGACAGAGGTGGTCCTAGGTAAATGTGACACATAAAAATGACTACAAAGACATCCCTCTCCATGGTAACCATCCTCCAACACCCCAAGCCCACCCTAATGAGAAAATATGCCACAACAAAAATATTTTGTCGCATGAAATGTTACAACCATTAAACAGGCTTTTTCATGACTGCTTTGCAGTAGCTATTTGCTTCTAGTGGAAAATGGTCGCAATATAATCCCAACAAGAATGCATCATCCAATTTCCTGGTTTTAGTTTTGTTGTTTGAAGAACTAGACTAGTTAAGTGACTTTGCCAGACATGTGAATGAAAAATATTAGGGATTTCAGGCATTACTATTTATACCCAGCTCTCTAACTCTTTAAGAAGATAGGCATGACACTATTCCATAACAAAGAATGCATTAGCTGTTTTACTGATTCTGGTTCTTCTAATGGAAGAACTAAATTAAAAGCAAACCTTGGACATATGAATGGTTTATTAAAGGACATATTGCTTAGCTTTAGTTAGACTGTTTTACACCAGAGAAGGTGTCGTCAATTCGTCATTCTTTCAATATGAATGGATTGGAAAAGAGCATCTTTTTTATACTCACCTTGAATAAAACCAGGCATAAGTAGCATTGCATATAATGCAAGACCCAAAAATCTTGTAATCCATTGATAACCTAACCTGAATAAAGGAAGTAATAAGAAACCACATCTTATTGACAATTCCTCTATATCTTGTTCAGTCGCAACTAAATAGTATCTCAAAGCAAATGAAGCAAGTAATAGTAATACAAAATGAAGAATTATACTACTAAGGCTAGTCCCCTTCCTCTCCAACATGACATATGACACTACTCACCTCTACTCCTAATCATCTACCTCTGCAGCCTCCTATCTAAGATCATGCATGGTATAATCAGAAATCTCGAAGAAGGCTCTGGAAATTCTACTAGTATATTGAGATCCAATTAATGCTCATTCATTCATATACCGGTAAATATAAAGGATTCAAATCAAAGCAAAAAAGTAAATGTTTACGAAAAAAGCAACATTTATATCATCGTAATTCGAATTTCTTCTCCGATAAAACCTAGGAAAATGAATGAATCCTCTGTATCCATTTGAGCAAAGTTGACAAGAGTAAAATCCGAAATCAGAGCTAGTTACCCGAGATAACTAATAAGGTTGAAACTTAATCGAGTAATCAAATAGGTCTCAGCAGCAGCGTGTCCAATTTCACGACTAAAGGATCCTTGATGATTCAACATTGGAGGCCTGGACTTAGTTTTGGTCAATGGTTTTCTCCTCCGCTGGTAATTATATGGAATTGAAGGCAAATTTGGTAAAGTAGAAGCCCTAGCTAGTAACTGACCAGTATCCCCTTGATTCTCCATATCGGCGGCGAAAGCATGCAAAATTCCGATGAGATCTCAAATTTTACCAAAAAGGTAAAACAAGTGAGAAGATTATTGTAGCCTGGTGAGCCGGAGAAGGTGAAGTTTGGCGGGATATATATAAAAATTTCAGGTGACACATCATATTCACTTGCTAACGGTTCTATGACTCCAGGCATACTACTTTTCCCTGTATCTATTACTGCTACAATTCACTTGTCCTCGCGTTTATTTGTTCATTATATTAAAAAGTTAAAGAATAAAACATGTGGTTAATTTCTTTTTGTCACATATTAGATTATTAGTTATTTATTTTTCTTTTTACGAAAATATGATATAAATGAGTTTTTCTCAATTTGAAATTGCATACAAGATCCAATTTTTTTATATGGCACAAATGAAAATTTTCTCAAACCAAAAGTTCAATGACATATTTAAGTCTTTCCAAATAACTTTTAAAAATAACAAATATTTAGTCTTTAATACGACTCTATAGCTATAGTTTGTTTAGTTACAAATAACAATAAAACATCTGGGGAGGAGGAAGGAGAGAGACGAGCAAAATTAAGATAGGGAGAAGAGAGGAGAACGAGATTAAGAGAGGGAGAAGAGATGCGAGCGAGATCGAGAGAGGGTGGAAAGAGGCAAAGGAATCGAGAGAGGAAGGAGAAAGAGGAGAGAGAGGATCATATTTTATATTGTATTATATATTTATTTTATCAATTGTATTCTATATTTATTTTACATTGTATTCTTCTATTCCTTATTCTTTGATGAGTATTTTCACGACTCTTGCTTATGTATATATATTCTTTGTTAACTTTCTCGTGAATTCTTGCACGTAATCTACGTTTTCTTGCGTACTTGTTTTAGATTTATATCATATTTTATCTCAATCTTTTTCTCTTTTCACAGATTTCTATATTAAATAACAATTTAATTCTAAAATATTTAATTTACGCTTAATGAAATGATTTATAGAGGCTGTTTGGCTCAGCTTAAAAGCTGGTCAAACTGACTTAAAAGCTGATTTTTGACTTATTTAGCTGTTTGGCAATACTCAAAACAACTTATTTTAAGTTTAAAAAAAACTTATTTTAAGTCAAAAGTTAAAAGCTGGGGTAGGGGTGCTTTCTTTATTTTAGCTTATAAGTTGTTTTAAGTTGACCACATTTTTATCTTTTTGTGCTTAATATTTTTATACAATCTCCAAATTACCCATATAACCCTAATATTTCTTTCTTCCATTTTTCCATTTTTCACGTTTGACATAACAATTTCAGCACTTTTATCCAAACGCATAACTGCTTATTTTAAAAATAAGTTTCAGCACTTTTAAAAGTATTTTTTTAAAGCTGCTTTTATTAAGCCCATCCAAACGGGCCCATATTCTTACAAATTTCTATCATTCATTTTGAACAGCAGTTTTAAAAGTCTTCATTTCTTTCTTAAACGTTATGCCGAGTCAAATTACCTACATAAAATGGGACGGAAAGAGTAATAATTTAACTTTAAAATGTTTATTTTACCCTTAATTAAATAATTTACAGTCACACAAATTTATATCATTCATTTTGATCTACAAATTTAAAAAGTCTTCCTTTCAAATAATATATGTTTCGCTATATTTCTCATTTACGTGACACTGACACTGACACTGATGAACCTCAACAATTCTTTTATTTAGTTTTTACACATTTTAAGTTGTTAATAGATATACACATAATTTTAAAATAATATATATTACTCTTTTAATCTCAATTTATGTGACGATATTAAAATTTAGTGATTTAAGTACTTGTAAAACCATTTCAAAATAATATATGTTATATCTAGTTCCTATGTCCAATTTATGTGACGTTGGCAGATTTTTGAGATCTTCTTTAGTTAATTGATATATTTTAAGTTGTTCCAATTTATTATGTGACGATAAAATATTTGTAGATTTTTTTATCTAATAAAATATTTTAAATTATCAATTATCATAATATAACAAATAAATTAAAATAAAAAACATATTTATTAAATGTGCATACTCTCAAGTAAATAATCACTTATACATGGATTTCATGGTCCACAAAATAAAAAAGTAGATACACACATAATAATTAAGTAAATAAAACTATATCAAAATAATCGTTAAATATCCCAAGTCACATTGGTTAGCAAGCTGGCAAAGACAACCCCCAGTTGCTTGTCAAGCCACTTCTATATATAGAAAAAAATATATATAAAGAGAAAATAAATAACATATATTACGTAAAAGATATATTCTTAAAATAATTTTGGTATATATAGTTCAAAATCTCAGCTGTATAACTTGGACTTAGATGCGTATATATTAACGTTATTTCTTGTAATTATTATACATTGTTCAAGCAATAAAAGGTGTCATTGGAAATTTGTAGTACAATTTTCCAAATATTACATCTGTCCCAGCTGACGATGATAAAATTAATAATTATAGAGGAAAAAGAAAACTCATCCCCAAAAAGAAAAGCTGCAATAATGACTTGTATACCACCAAGTAATTAGAATTATTGTAATAATACTAGATGCAAACAAGTATTAATATACGTTCAATAAATCATTTTAAAAGTGGTCTCATGTATCTTTTCCTCTTTTAATTAATTAATGTTTTAAAAAAAAAAAATTTACCACATATAAATTTTATTATTATGTAATTTAATAAAGTAAAATATATGTTAATTAATTATGATTAAGTAAAGTGAACTATAAATTTAAACACATAAACATGCATGTATTGATTTGATATAAATATCCGTGTGAATAAATTTTTTCCGTTTTTTAATCAATTTTAAATAATTTTTTTTTCTATTGAATAATTATTTATGTGGATGAAGTAATTTGATATTTCAAAAAAAATTTTGATATAAAATAGACACATTAATGAAAAATTGAAAATTTCAAGAATATTAAATACATTGATAAAGATGTATCTACTTCTAAGTTCTACCGTCTAAATAGTATTGATAATTGATAGATGTTGGGGGTTCTGTGGAGGATCTGTTTTGTGGTTGCAATTGGTGGATGTTTGTCCTAGATGAACCATACGTGATTTTCAACACCAACATCATATTGAAGAATAAAATTTAATTTTGATCGCTATCACTTTCTAGTAGAAGTGTCAAAATGAGCTAGTCCAATTCAATCAAATCCAATTTTAACGGGCTAAAGAGTTAAATGGATTGAGTCAGGCTGATCCTTTTAATTAAAGGGTCAATAAAATAGCGGCCTAACCCAACTCTAAGCGGGCCACGGGTTGAGATGGATTGACCCTTCAACCAAAAAATAAACAATATTACTCTCTTAAAAAGAGTATCGAATGTTGGCGTCTATGAACACAACATCAATTTATAAAGAATCAATATATATATATATATATATATATATAAATGAGGATCATAGAGGAGCTGATGTGACACCTCTCTATGGTCTCCATTTCAATTTTTTTTTTCCTCATTTTTTTATTTTTTTTCATTTCTTTTCATTAAATAATTTTTTTATTAATTAAAAAATTCATTCATATTTATTATTCTAATTATACCTAATAAGTTAAAACAAAACTTCCATCTATTTACATTCCCTACTTAAATAATATGTCTTTTCAACTTATTTTTAATTATTCTTATGATTTACACAAACTATAAATAACAACTATCTATGTTCAATGATCATTCTCATTTTCTCATTCTTTCTTTTTATTAGTATAGTTTTTTTCTCTTTTACATTTTTCCTTCATCTTTTTCATCAATCATGTACTTAATAAGTTCACCATATGATCTTCATATTGATAAAGATCATAGATATATTCTTCAAGATTCATCAAATTGATGTTTGCATTAGTTTGGTACAAGTTTATGAAAATGAAGAAGGAATCATAATATTTCAAGATTTCATCAAAAAGATGGTCATATTAGTAAAAAAGTTTGAATGATTTCCAAATATTTTGAAGATTAATTCATTCATGTATTGTTTTGATTATATTTTTAGTTAGATATATAATTTCATGTTATTCAACAAAAGTCAAAATTATGAAACTCTACTAATCAACACATTAGAAAGCTCAATTAACATTATTTTCTTCATTTTACTTTGCTCTTTTTCTTCTTCTTCTTCTTCTTCTTCTTGTTATTATTATTATTATTGTTGTTGTTGTTGTTGTTGTTGTTGTTGTTGTTGTTGTTATTATTATGTGAATGAATGAAGATGAAAAGTTATATAGTTCTATTTTTATGTAATTTTTTCGTCAAGTTCTAATTAATATTTTAATTTCTGTCACAGTTGAAAAATATAATATTGCACATGATACATTTCTTATAGTTATTGCATATCGATGTCCCTGAAAAATACATGATGTAGTTTATCATATTAAAAAATAGTCATAGATTAAACAAAAAATAAATTAATCATTTTTAGTACTTTTAAAAAATTTAATGAATAAATAAATTATTTAATGAAAAGAATGAAGAATTTTTTTTCCTTTAGTCACATTAATTATATTAAAACTAAAAAGTGTAATTTATTCAACTTCTCTTAATTATTGAAAATGAGAAACATAAAAAAAATGATGTGACATTTATCTTCTCTTTATTAACCTTTTTCCTTATTTAAATTAATAATTTTTGTAAAAGTAATTTACTTAATTAATTAAAAATAATTTTTATTAATAGAGAAACATTTACAATAAAAACTATTCACATAATACTTTATTAAGAGTAAATAATAATCATCCATAACGCACATCTAATTTTCAATCTTAATAGATTAATTTTCCACTTTTTTTTCCTTTTTTTTTGACCTTCTTCTAATTATAATTTTAGAATAACAATTTTAAAAAAATATTTTAAGTTATTTTCTCTTTATTATTTACTTACAACCAATATATCTATTTACATATAAAGTTAGAATATTAGAAATAAATAAGATGATGTGGTACATTTCTATCACCTCCGATCACATTTATCTTTTCTCTAAATTATTTAGCATGTCTTTTATTTTTCTTCACCAGTGTGATATTGTAAAATATATTTTCAAAATTTCCTCTTCAAATAATTACTTAATAGTATTATTTTGCATAATTACATTTTTTTTATATATGTAACTTTTATTTTTAATTGTTAATTGTTAATTAATAATATTCATGACTTCAAAACCTTTCATGTGGATAACCCCCTAAATTAATTAATGTGC